TAAGAAACTGCTTTTTATCAGAATTACAGGTTAATCCATTTCTGCCAATAGTCTTCATAAAGTATTCCACTGTCTTCAGGGCTTCCATGTTATGAACAAAAAATCCTTTGCCTATGATTTTCTCTGTGTAGGCAATCTTATCCTTTCTAGATATCTCTAGTATACATCTTCCTCAGTGGGTCTCAATCTGGTCTGGAACTCACTAAGCTTTTTCAACACCAACTGGCATTTTTAATTATCATTTACTTATTACTAACTTTTCTTTCAGTTATTATATTTTTTCCTTCTGGAACTCCTTTCACATGTAAGTTTTCTTAAAAATAATACTGACAGTCCTAGATTTACCTTATTCTCCAGGATTTCCACGTGTTAACATGTCTTCAATTGCTTCTCCACCTTATTTGTTGGCACAGGTCTCTCACTGAATCTGGAACGTACTGTTTTTCATTAGCTATCTGGCCAGCAAGCATCATGATCCTACTGTCTCCCTTCTGTCCCCATCGCTAGGATTAGAGAAGCATGCTATTACTCCAGGCTTTTATATGGGTGCTAGGCTAACATAGTCAGGTCCTAACATTTTCACTGCAAGCCATCTCCCCAGCTCTAGAATGTTTTACTTTGAAACAGACTGGGGTCTTTGGCCCTAAAGTCTCCTACATTTAACTTTCCTAGAAGGAGAGGTATGTGTGTGCAGGCATGTGTTTATCTGAATTTTTTTTAAAGCTATTCTGGATATATACTCACACACACAAAAATATTATTTTCTAGATCTTTTGCTATGGTTGAGACAAGCTGTTATTTTTCATTTGCAAAGCTTCCACTCTAGATGTTGAAGTATTCAAACAATAAGAATCCTGTATGTCTTAGAAAACCATGCACCCTACATTCTCAGAATTCTTTGATTTCAGGACAGGAAGATGGTCCAGTAGGTAAAGGCACTTGCTATGTAGGTCGGGTGACCTAGGTTTGATGCTGAGAACCCATGTAAATGTAGAGAACAAGCTCTACCAAGCTCTTTACACATGCCATGTGCACATGTACATACGATGTGCTTATGTGTATGCACAAATACAGACACATATACACACACATCATATACATACAAAGTAAGCTTTAAAATGCACCATTTGCTATGGAATCAGCAAGCTATCTCTCCCCAGGGCACAGAAGACTTTAAAAAGGAATCCTGAGACTTTGAAAGTATAAAAATAGATGGCACATATGTAAAAAACAAACACACATAAAGGAAGTGATACATACCAAAGTTTACCTCAAGTTGAAATGACAGAAAGGCTTAAGACCCACCTCAAAATCCAAAACCCCACAACAGTAGAAGAAAACTAACTGTTCTGTAGTAGACACATCATGGCCAGGCCACTACTAGCACCGAAGCAAAACTCTACTGCCACGAATGATTCTTTACTATGTGCACACTGTATAGTCAGAATCCTAATTCTACCATAACAGAGCAGGCACCCGGGTGCCAGAAGTCATCCTTAGCCAGGAATGGAAAGAAGCATGTCTTACCCACCATATCTGTATTCACATGGCATGTGTTCATAAATACTTATTTTAATTTTCCGGGGACTATATTCTGAGGACAGGAGGAAATGAACAAGCTTTAAAGAGAGAAAATATGCTGATTTCTAAAGTACATTTGGGTTGTTATACGCAATAGAAGAATGTCATAAACATTCTAGCAAACCCCATTACTGTCTTAAGCAGTTCATTTAATTTTACAAGCATTTAAAGTTGAATTTTACAAAATATTCTGTATTTTCTTCTTTTATGATAACTAAAGAGCAGCAACGAAAGAAACCAATGAAAGGCTGCTCACATGACTAACAATGGATAAAGAGGAAACCAAAGTACCTCACACAGAAGCTGAGGTTTAGATTTATTATTATTATAAATTATAATTTATTCACTTTGTATCCCAGCTGTATCCCCCTCCTCATCTCTTCCCAGTCCCACTCTCCCTTCTTTGTCCCCTACCACATGTCCTTCCCTAGTCCACTGATAGGGGAGGTCCTTCTCCCTTATACTATCTAACCCTAGCCTATCAGGTCTCATCAGGACTGTATGGATCCTCTTTCTCTATGCTCTGGTAAAGCCACCTCGCCAAGGAGGAGGTGATCAAAGAGCAGGCAACCAAGTTCATTTTAACAATGGTAGCACTAGTAATTAACAACAGGCAGTATTACTCCTGAATGTTTACTACACCTGTTACCCTGCTGAGCACCAAGCATTTGCTAACTTGGTCAAGAACAGAATAAATTTTGTAGACTACTCCTTTCTGCACATCACTGAAACACGGTGACTTTAGTCCCTGGTCTCACAGTGGAAAACTGGGGAGTCAAGGATATAAAATAGAGCTGTGCTCTTAGCATCTGCCCTGATGCTCACCTGGGTAGTAATCGTGGGGTTTGGCTCTACCCTTATGACTATCAACATAGTAAGTTTTAGATCATCAGGGCAGCATCTGTCAAGCTAGGTAAAAGGATTTTTAAAATCAACTTTATACACCAGCCTCAAACAAAAACTGAAAAAGGATAAGTTTCCAATTACTTTGTCCAGCTATGCCTCACAAGAATACTTTGGAATTTAACTATGCTTGAATTCATGAAGTACAACATATGCTACTGTAGGTTTTTCAAAGGTCATATTAAGAGTCTCCCAAAAGTTAAATATAGAAGAGTCTACAGTCAATTATTTTTCTGTTGTTTTGGTTCTTTTTTTTTTTTTGAGGCAAGGTCTCACTATGTAGCGCAGGCTGGCTTCAAACTCAGAGATCATTCTGCCTCTGCCTACCAAGTGCTCAGATTAAAGGTGTGCCCCACCATGGCAGGCTACAGTCCATCTTGACTACAGTAGATACTGTAACAGTAGCTACACCTTGGTTATAAAGTTTCAAAGGTGCCCCTCCCCTCCTTTCAATTTTATACTTCATAAGGTCTTAAACCAAAGGCAGGAAATATGGGCAAAGCCTGGTGAGGACTGCAGAACTGGTGGTTGCAGGACTCTTTCCTTAACACTTCTTATAAGCCTCCCTCTAAATTTTTTCAACAAAAGAAAGCATTTTCGTTTTGTTTTATTTGGTTTGGTTTGGTTTGGTTTGGTTTGGTTTGGTTTGGTTTGGTTTGGTACAGAGATTAAAAGGGAGAAAGGATTCTAACGTCAAAAATAGATAGATAGACAGACAGATAGATAAAGGTGCTGGCAAAATGAACAATTCAGAGAGATACAAATAGAAAAATAGTGCACTAGAGACCAGAAAGGATGTTTTAGAACCTGAAAAGAGCATGAAATTTTGTGACCAATGACTAAGAAAAAGTCTGGATCCAGGCTGCCGGGTGCAGTAATGACAGAGAAACTGAGAGTCTACATTAGACAAAAACAATTATTGGGTTCAGCAGCATTATCACATGGGAAAAAAAAAACAAAAAACAAAAAAACAAACCAGAACTTCTGGATCAGGGCTGAAGCTCTGAGCTAAGTTGAGGCTTATCAAGGTTGTTGTACAGAATGAGCTGATCAGATATGACTGCATTAGTGCCCTGGGAGGAAAAGAGACAATCACCTGAATGTTGTAACACATGGCATGGCACTAAAAGGCTAGTCAAACAATCATGCAAAAGTTACTAAGGATAATGGCAGAGAACTTGATAGAAAAATTACAATTTCAGGAAAAGTGAGAACAAACTGGAGAATAGAACAAACAGCTATGAGGGAATAGCTGTAATCACCATTAAGAGAAAGATTTAACCAGAACTTGTTTAAAATGGCCTATATACTTTAGCATAAAGAAAATGTTGCAATAAAATGTTGACATCCACAAAGAGAAAGGGGCACCATTCTGTCATCCAGAAAGAATACAAAGCCTGACATGGACTAACCAACTTCAGCCATCTTAAAAGAGTCAAGAAATAGGTGATAACCCCAGACAAGACATTTGTCTTCTAAGAGGCTTGTTTTAGCTTTCAAAGTAAAAATATTAATAAAGCAAAATTTAAACATGTAAAAATATATGAGAAACAGTAATTGACTACAAATTCACATAAATCAGAAGTTACTTAAAATGGTTAGAAAGCTAAATTCTGTCTGCAATTGTTTTGTCAGTCCTAGTCTGCTTTCTACTACTGTAATACACATCAAAAGTAACGTGGGGAGGAAAAGGCTTATTTCATTTTACAAGTGTATCATGAAGGGAAATCAGGGCAGGAACTCAAGATCGTGGTGGAATGCTACTTACTGGATTGCACTCCATGGCTTTCTAAGCCTGTTCTCTCATACAAGCAAGGACCACCTGCCCAGGGATGGCAGTGCCCATACAGCCTGGGCCCTCTCATACATCATGAATTAAGAAAACGCCTCCGCAGATTTCCCTACAAGGCCAATCTGATACAGGTATTTCTCAACAGAGGTTCCCTCTTTCTACGTGATACCAGCTTGTGTCAGCTGAACAAAGCAAAACCAACCATCTACACTCTATAATTTAGTTCAGCTTTGAACTACTGGACTTGAGACACAGACTCAAGGCTTTCCAGCCGTCATAAACGGATAGGTGTTCAATTTAAGACATCTGTCCCCGAATTTGATATTTTCTCTAAATCAACCTACAATATCCTAATGTCATCCAATTCAATAAGAATTTATATTTGTCTGACTCTCACTGATGTGAGGCTAAATGCAGATGTTTAGTAAGAGACACGTACGTCAACTACATGTGAAGAGAATAATCAATCAGAATTGACTTCTACACAGCTGACACTGCATTATCTCCCTGAGGAAGCCAATGAGAACCTGTTCTTAATCACCTTTGGATCCACCCAGCTCTCCACTTCCCTTTCATGGAAAAGAATTCCTCTAGAGGAAGCCATATACCATTACCTATGCTGAGGCAGCACTAGCTACACCACAATAAAAACCCTAGAGTAACCTTCAGTTACAACTGACTGTGCAAACTTAGATCGCAGCAGCACCACATCAGTAATACTTACCAATACAGACATCAATTTTCCCTTTAATGGCAGCTTCATGCAGGGGTGTATAGTTCCAGTTATCTCTGGCATTCGGATCTGCTCCTTGGCACAGTAACAGACTAACAACCTCAGCATGGCCGAAAGAACAGGCATTGTGAAGTGGGATAAGACCCCCATCATCACGAGCGTGGACATTAGCACCCATCTGCAGCAAGTGTTCTACAACATCCTTCCTTCCAAAACCTGCAGAAGAGAGGCAGAAATGTTCCATATGTCAACTCAAATCTTTAACAGTCACACCTACGTACTGACATGCTGTACACCCTATAGCAAAAAGGGCAACTAAAACAAACAAAAACATTAGCTTCATCCAAACTTACCTTCCCGTTTCAAGTAGCAGAACTAAGGAGAACTCTTTCCTTGTTACTGAGTGGCTGACTCAAATCATTTCTTTATTGCCTGCTATGGCGGACAACTGTCAGAAATACATGTGAATGAGACGGCTCTTGCCTGAGTGTTGTCGACACATAACAATATTACACACATAAAGCTTCCAGGTACTATATATTTACAAACTGCTGACAAAAGTTTTATACTTAAGTAATTTAAATACTACTGACACTGACAACCAAATCAAAGACAAACCACAACATTTAGCATTAGAGAAATAATAGGAATGTGACAGAAACAGGTGCTGACAGTTTGGCTAATGGGATTCTGCAGCAGGAAGAAAGAACTAACGAAGGTATCAGAAAACCATTGGGAATGGGAGCCAAACTGTGTGCAACAGGTGGTTCAACAAAATCATTTATGATGGGATTGCAAATCTGAGAAAACAAGGCGGAAAGGGGAGACCTGCTGCAGTTGACGACACAGAACCAGGCACTGTTAGTAAGTACCACAGTTTTTGGCTAGAAAAGGGAAAAGGAGAAGAACAGCTGGGATGTGAAACAGTGTAAAGACTATGCAACAGGTGAGGAAGGCTATGGAGGAACCACTGAAGAAGCCAGGAGTAACAACATTAGACAAAGTCTAGCATGAGAAGAATTTAGTGAGACCAACAGAAAAGAAAGAAATGGCCATTGAGAACATGAAAGTAGTACTACAATGACAAAACTACAAGCTATATTTCAATGGCCTAAGAGTGGAAACTGCACGTGCCAGCATTTTGTAACTTGCCCCACCACTTGTGGCTCTATGGCACTAATTCCACACTTGTACTTACTTGACCAAATTAGAAACTGGAATCTTAATAAAAGTAATAGTTAAGGAAACAGTAGCCACTTTGTGGATACATTAAAAAAAAAAAGGAGAACCATGTGAAAAAAAGATGTCTTCCGTGGTTATCTATAGAAATTCACTCATTTTCAGGAAGGCAAGAACTAAGAAAGCCTCCCAAATTAATAAATAAATAAATATATCTGTGTGTGTGTGTGTGTATATATATATATATATGAAATCAACTAAATCAACTAAAACAAAAAACATTAGCTTCGTCCATATATATATGATTTCATAGGCATGTATCACAAGGTCAGAATTATACTTCTCCTGGACAACACCTCAAGTTAAATTGAAATGGGAAAAAAGGGGGTGAGTCAATTTTATATTAGAATAGTAAAGCTACAGAGTGCAAACCAATTGCCATCACCAGGCCATGGTTTTTGCTTTGGTTTGGTTTTGTTTTTCGAAACACTGTTTCTCTGTATGGCTGTCCTGTAACTTAATCTGTAGAGCAGGCTGGTCTCGAACTCACACAGAGATCCACCTGCCTCTGCCTCCCGAATGCTAGGATTAAAGGCATGCACCACACTGCCTGGCTGTTTTAGTCCACTGTTCATATTGGCACAGCAGTACTGGCGGTAGCTGGAGGTTCTATTTAGTCTTATTTCTACCTCCCCCTCCTTTTCCCATCACAACCCTATTCTTCCACAGGCACTTCCCTTCCTGGCTATGAAAGAAAAGGCGCACTCGGAATTTTAAGGGTTGTTTTGTTCCTACTGGGATAAAAAGTACAATGACGAGTAAGGTGAGGTCAGGAAAGTCACACCACTCAAATTCTTCGAGCCATGGTAAGGAGCTTGCATTTGAGGTAGGGTCTTAGGGTCTTATCAGGTGGCCAAATCTGTATGCTTGCTAATGTCAACAGTAGACACAGGAAGATGAGGTCAGGACAGGTAAGGCCTTTTCATCAGGAAGAAACACAGGCAGCTCCAAGTGACACCACCAAACTAGGACAGAAATTCACGTGGCTCACATTTGCCAAATGACATGGCATTAGAAACCTCTGAAAGGCCTTCCATTTTCTCGGTCTCTGCCCCAGCTTATCAGTCTGTGGTCTTAAGAGTGAGCTTAAGACCTCTGAGTTTGACAAACGATTCCCAGTCAAGAAAGGAAAGGAAGAAAAAGGTTTGGACACAGAATGATTAGTATTAAAGCAGTAGAAGTCTTCAGATATGCATTCACCTATGCATTCCTAGCCAAAAATGTGTCATCTACCCACTACAAACACAGGCTGAAAAACAAGTCTTATATAGCTGAGCACACAGCTGTCTCAAGAAAATCAAGTTATCTATTGGTGAAGAATTAGAAGATGAGTTTAGGAAGAATAAATAACAGCATCTGCCACAGCTTTGTTAAGTCATGCGTAGAAATTTGTTTCATTTTAAGTACCTGACAAACTATTCCTAAGAAAAATCACTTCATGGTATTTAAGTCTTAAAAGGTTTTTCAGATACCTGAATTAGATACTCAATTTAAATGCCAACTGGCACAAAATAAAATCACCTGAGGAGGGAGTGTTACCTGATTGCCTTAACCAAGGCGGGAAGACCCACCTGGTGTAGACAGGGCCTTCAGGCAGCAGCCCAGATGAAAAGGGCATGAAAAAGGAAGGCTGTCCAGCTGGCTTGGGCCTTTCCTCCTGCTCCTGACTCTTGCTGCTTTGTTTCCCAGAAGATACAGCTATCCACATGGCGGGGTGAGACTAGGGGGTCAGGTTAACTCACATGAGCCAGTTGAGAGTCTGCCCAGCGAAGGCCTAAGCTTTAAAATAGTAAAAGGTCTCAGTGTCTTCACTGTCGGTCACCAGCGTCTTACAGCACACCGTGGTGTGCGTCAGACACAGGGATCCCTAGAGCTCCTTTTCTAGCCAGTCTAGAATTGGTGAGCTCCAGGCTCAACAAAGAGACCCAGTCTCAAAAAATAAGATGGGGGGTGGGCTGCAGAAGACACCCCACATGGACCTCAGCCCTCCTTATGCATGCATGAGCGTATACACACAGACACAATAAAAATTAAAGAATCAAGAAAAGGGAGCTGGAGAGATGGCTCAGAGCTTAAGAGCACTAGCTGTTCCTCCAAAAGTCCAGAGTTCAATTCCCAGCAACGACATGGTGGCTCACAACCATCTAAAAATGCAATCCTCTGCCCATGTGGCATGCAGGCACACATGCAGGCACAATAATGTATAAATAATAAATAAATAAACCTTAAAAAAAAAAAAAGAAAAACCGAAAAAAACAAACAAAAAACAAAAAAAGAATCAAGAAAAAAATCAGAGGCTATTAGTTAAGAAAGAAAACTCCTGCTGTACAGCCTATAGTAGAGAGCTAGCAGATTTAGAAGGCAAGAATGTTCAGCTCTGTATCCCCTTTTTTAATGGCATTATTTGGTTTGCTGGTATTTAATTTCTTGAGTTCTTTATATATTCTGGATATTAGCCCTTTGTCGGATGTAGGGTTGTTGAAGATCTTTTCCCAATCTACAGATTACTTTTTTGTTCTATTGATAGTGTCCTTTGCTTCACAGAAGCTTTTCAGTTTCAAGAGGTCCCATTTACTAATTCTAGATCTTAGAACCTGAGCTGTTGGTGTTCTGTTCAGGAAGTTGTCTCCTATGCCAATGAGTTCAGGCTCTTCCCCACTTTCTCCTCTAGCAGATTTACTGTGTCTGGTACGGAATAAACATACTACAATGCACAGACCCAAAGAAGATAAGCCCGATGGGCATCTTAGGCTTCATGTGGGCCCACTAGTTCTGAGGAATAGGGAAGGGGGGAATGTGGGAGGGTGGGTGGGACTGGAAAAAGACAGGAGGGGCCTATGACTGAGATGTAAATTGAATTAAAAAGAAAAAGAAGGCAAGAATGGCTGGGTCCCAAATTCTAGTTGAGCACCTTGGTCTGTGGAGGTTCCACGTGGGAACTAAATAAGCCAAAACCTCATCCAATAATTATTCCTCACTAACTGTTCCTGGTAAAGTAATATGATTTGTCAGTTTCAGGACATTCTTGCTGCTAAATAATGTCCTTATTTCACCTGTTTAAAGAAAAATTAAAATTCATGGTAAGGAAGATGCAAATTCAAAACACAGGTCTAGCTAAATACACTTAGCAACATTCCTTACTCATCTTAAGGATTACAATTAGGGCCCTTCAAAATGTTTCAGTACTAACTGTAAGGTCACTGCTATTTATTCCCCAGGTCTGAGCCCAAAACAGGGGTGAAAAAGTCATCCCACTTAACATTTAACATTTTAAGCTTGCCGACAATTAAAACCTGCAAGAAACAACCTTTAACCTTAACTGTGACACGCACAATATTCTCAAAAGAGAAAAACCAAAGGTGTTTGCAGTATTGTAACTGAGGTTTTTTTCATAAGTGGTAGAAAACAACAGATTTAAAAGGTATTTTCCTCCTAACATGACTACCAACAAAGCTACAAGCACTGTATCAGAATAACAAAGTTCATATTACATTTCTTTTATAAATTTTTCCATAAATATTGTAAGATCCAAGAACACCAAAAGACACTCAAAATAACAGTAAATAAACATTATGCCAAGAACAATGACATAAGTGGCAAAGATAAACAGACTCCTGGTGATAGAGGACTCACCAGATACCTTGGAAGGAAAAATACTACACTTAGGAAAAAAAGAAGAAAAAAAAAAAAGAAAAAAGAAAAAGAACATTTATGCTAAAAGTGAAATACAAAGAAATAAAACAGTGCCTTCCTAAACCTAATAGAGAAATCACCAGAAACAAAAAGGTAAGAGACCTTAAGTTTAAAAACAAATGGTACAAAAGTATTTCTTGGGACAGGAAAAAAAAAAAAAAAAAAAAAAACAGATGGTTAAATTCCAATGCAAAAAAGATTGGCTCAACAGCGGAAGATAATTACCTGCCCAGGCAGGCAATAAACCAGAGAAAGCCTACGCTCTACAACACTGTCACAGTGTCCCCTTCACTGCTGTGAAATATGAAGATG